AGGGATTGGCAGAGGTCAAGGCTATAACAAAGACAAGAGCCTCCCTTCACAATCACCTCTCATGGACAACTGTGCCTGGCTCTAACAAGGCACCCCAAGCTCAGAGCACCCTCGACCCCATGCAAAGTCTGTGCCTTTGTTGAAACACAAGGGTAAACCCAACAGTTGAGGCCACTCACATGCTCTGTAATAACTCCCAGCTCCCCAACCCTGAGCCGGAGAGTGATGGCTGTGATGGCTGGCATTTCCTCCTTCCATGTGGGATGTCTGGAAAGGACATGCTTGCTTGGCAATGCTGAGACACTCAGGAATGCCAATCTTGGCCTTCTCCAGAATTCCAGCACCTTCCAGGGCTCCTGGATCAGCCTGGGGTTTGCTGTTTCAACACAAAAATGGTGTCTTCAAACAGAGCTTCCTCTTAGAAATGGCAAAGGAGAAAACAGGAAGCTCCCATTGCTCCAGGGCGGGGGTGGGGGGTGCTCTCAGACACCCCTCCCCAGCTCAGTGAGAGGCACTGGACAGCACTGAAAACTTCAGGACACTCCAGATCCTGAGGCCAAGCCTGGGCTTGAAGCAGACATCATCAATTGATTGAAGGCTTCCATTTCCCCACCAAGCCAGGGTCCCTAAAAGAAGATCACCTGCCATTCCTTTGGCAGGGAGTGTGGGAAGTCTCCTCATGGAGGAGAGGTGGGGAGGAGGTCCCTGGAAGCAGCCTGGACAGGAAGAAGAAGCTGCAGTCAAGCCTTGCATCTGCCAGCAGCAGGGACTGTGGACAGGGCACTCCACTCTCTGGACCCAGCAGCATCAGTGTGACTGTGGACAGGGCACTCCACTCTCTGGACCCAGCAGCAGGGACTGTGGATGGGGCACTCCACTCTCTAGACTCAGCAACAGTGTGACTGTGGACGGGGCACTCCACTCTCTAGACTCAGCATCAGTGTGACTGTGGATGGGGCACTCCACTCTCTGGACCCAGCAGCATCAGTGTGACTGTGGACGGGGCACTCCACTCTCTGGACTCAGCATCAGTGTGACTGTGGACGGGGCACTCCACTCTCTAGACTCAGCATCAGTGTGACTGTGGATGGGGCACTCCACTCTCTGGACCCAGCAGCATCAGTGTGACTGTGGACGGGGCACTCCACTCTCTGGACTCAGCATCAGTGTGACTGTGGACGGGGCGCTCCACTCTCTAGACTCAGCATCAGTGTGACTGTGGACGGGGCACTCCACTCTCTGGACCCAGCAGCATCAGTGTGACTGTGGATGGGGCACTCCACTCTCTAGACTCAGCATCAGTGTGACTGTGGATGGGGCACTTCACTCTCTGGACTCAGCATCAGTGTGACTGTGGACGGGGCGCTCCACTGTCTGGACCCAGCAGCAGGGACTATGGACGGGGCGCTCCACTCTCTGGACCCAGCAGCAGGGACTGTGGACGGGGCGCTCCACTCTCTAGACTCAGCATCAGTGTGACTGTGGACGGGGCACTCCACTCTCTGGACCCAGCAGCATCAGTGTGACTGTGGATGGGGCACTCCACTCTCTGGACCCAGCAGCAGGGACTGTGGACGGGGCGCTCCACTCTCTGGACCCAGCAGCATCAGTGTGACTGTGGATGGGGCACTCCACTCTCTGGACCCAGCAGCAGGGACTGTGGACGGGGCGCTCCACTCTCTGGACCCAGCAGCAGGGACTGTGGACGGGGCGCTCCACTCTCTAGACTCAGCATCAGTGTGACTGTGGATGGGGCACTCCACTCTCTGGACCCAGCAGCATCAGTGTGACTGTGGACGGGGCACTCCACTCTCTGGACCCAGCAGCATCAGTGTGACTGTGGACGGGGCACTCCACTCTCTGGACTCAGCAGCAGTGACTGTGGACGGGGCACTCCACTCTCTGGACCCAGCAGCAGCAGTGTGACTGTGGATGGGGCACTCCACTCTCTGGACCCAGCATCCCTGTTTGGGAATAAAGTGGTTAGACTGAATGTCCCGAGTAGCCCCTTCCAACTCCTAGTGACTAGGTTACCCTAGTCAGACATAGCTAACCAGAAAGTCCTGGGAACTAGCCAGGGGGAGAGAGGAGCAAAGGTGCCCACAGCAACGGAGTTACAATGACGAGGGTGGACAGCCAGCCAGTGCCTCTACCCTGCCCTAGTGGCCTGGCACAGCCACTAGAGCTGTTATAACACAGCACTGGAGCTCTTATAACACAGCACTGGAGCTCTTATAACACAGCCCTGGAGCTGAGGCATTCTGTGAGGCCGTGTGAGGGAAGCCTATGAGCCACAGAGGCCAGACAGGAGGCCCCAGCTGGCATAAAGCAGAGAGAGAGAAAGCCAGGCTGTAAGGGCTCCCACCAGACCACGCCCAACCCTTCACATACCAACTGACTTCCCCAAGCCCACTTGTGGGCACGTGGCCACTTCCATGAACAGAGTGTGATGTCTTCTGGCATGGTGGGGCTCCAGAACTCACTCCTTCATTGAAGGAAGTTGTCACCGAGTGCTATTGTGTCTATGCTGGGGTCTCAGCAGACAAGGTCATCAAGGGCACCGTGGCTGTGACTCAGACACCATAGGTCCTAGGCTAGCACCATGTGGGCAAGGAGCCCGGCAATGTCACCTCAGCCACAGCCAGGATGTTGCAGGCAGACACTCCTAGAGTCTACTGGCAAGGTTTTGGTTTTGTTTGTTTGTTTTCATAAGAATGTTGGAACCTGGGTCCTATGCAGTCACGTTTGGGGATCTGGAACTAGGGCATCACTTATCAGCTGTCAGCTTTGGGATTCAGACTCCAGCTGTGTGCAAAGAACAATCCAGACCCTTCTTCCCGTGACTTTCCCCTATCCTAAAAGAGATGGAAAATAAGCAACCCAATGTCCAGGGTCCTCGGCTGTTCTGTCCCTCCCAGCACTGAGCAAAAGGACTCCTGAATTCTCCTGCCTCCCCACTAAGGGTAGCCAGAGAGGAACCATCTGGAAGATGTTTGCATATGAGTGCACTGTTCAGAGCTTTGGGTATGGGCATCTAGGAGCGAGCATGCCCAGGAGAATGATGACCACCTCCCCCCGAAGCTGAGTGTGTGGTGACGTCTGAGACCCAGGGAAGACAACCAATGGACAACTCTTGAGAAAAGGAGTAGATGAGTGTCAAGTTCTTGGGGGCGCGGATCCCTCCCAGGGGGAGCCTGTGGTTGTACTGCTTGCCTTTGAGAGGCAACGCCGTTGTGTTGGGAGCTAGGCACCATCTACTTGTGCGGTCCAGTACAGTTGGGTAGCATCTGGAGCCTGCTGGAGCCCAACGGCCACAGACTTGGCAGCCCTTGACCAACCCTCTGCCAGGAGGATGGCCTCACTCACAGACTCCTTCAGCTCTTGGCCCAGAGCACGTTGTTGCCTTCAAGCACAAAAGCTGCCATTGACCTCCGCTCTGCTGTCTCAGGAGAGAAGTGTCACAGCTGCTGTGCACAGTACAGGCTAGGCTTTGGGGAACCAGGCCGCCGCTCTCGCCAGCTGCCAAGAGGGAAGGCAGGTCCCTGCACACTCGTGGGTCGGTTGTGTGAGGCCGAGGAGACGCTGGTAGAGTGTGGAAATCTTATCCCGCAGAAGGCTGGGACCCAGGGCTCTAAAGTCTAAGCAGACTGGTCTCCCAGCTGTGAAGGACTGGAAGGGGACCTCAGGGTGGGAGGGAGGATGGTGAGGGTCTCTTGCAAGATCCTTTGGAGGCGCTGGAGAGGTGGCTCAGTGGGGAAAGCGCCTGTGTGAAAGCATCAGGACCTGAGTTCAGAGTCCCAGCATTTCCACAAAGAGAAAGTGGTGCAGCAGTGCACACCAGGTACCCCAGCACTGGGGATGCAGGCAGGCAGACCCTGAGAGCCAAATCCTGAGCCCCAGGCTCAGCAAATGAATGAACTTCAAGGTGGTGACTTTTACACCATGCGAATGATGTCCCATCCACATTTTAGTTCATGCCAACCGTGGTGTCACACACCTAGAAGTCCAGCACTTGGAGGGGGAGGCAGGAGAATCAGGGTGAGGCCAGCCTGGTCTACATGAAGAACCCTGTCTCAAAACAAACAAACAAACAAAAACAAAACAAATAAAAATAAACTCAAGCTGGGCCGGTGGTGGCGCATGCCTTTAATCCCAGCACTCGAGAGGCAGAGCCAGGAGGATCTCTGTGAGTTCGAGGCCAGTCTGGTCTACAGAGTGAGTTCCAGGAAAGGAGCAAAGCTACACAGAGAAACCCTGTCTCAAAAAACCAAAAAGCAAAACAAAACAAAACAAAACCTCAAGATGCTGGAGAGGCACAGCAGTTAGAACACTATACAGTTCTTCCACACATTTTTTTTAAAACATAAAGAAATGTAAATTTTCAATTCACATACAATTTTAAATGCTATTTGGCATTAAAATGGGACACTCTGGATCATGTCATAAATAAAACCCTTTCAGGCCAGGTGCGTTGATTCACACCTTCAATCCCAGCACTAAGGAGGCAGAGGCAGATGGATCTCTGTGAGATCAAGGCCAGCCTGGTCTACAGAGTAAGTAGAACTCCACTACAGCCAGGGCTATGGAAGAGACTCTGTCTCAAAACAACAAAACATACACACACAAAACAAAGAAACAAACAAAAACCCTAAATAAAACCCTGTCAATCCTTGAGAGGAAAGAGATGTAGAAAACCCCTCCAGGGACATAGAGGACAAGTTTCTCCTACCAAAGGAAAACCATGGGTCGTCCTTTAAATGTGGCTGGTTTGGGGACAGGAGAGATGACTCAGTGGTTAAGAGCACTGGCTTTTCTTCCAGAGGACCCGGGTTCAAATTCCCAGCACCCACATGATGGTTCATACCGTCTGTGACTCCAGTTCCAGGGGTCTGATGCCCTCTCCTGGCCTCCATGTGCACCCAGGCATACACATGGTGCACAGACACATATGCAGTCAAAGCACACAGTATAAAATAATCTTTAAGCTGCTAGTTTAGAGTTTCACAAATAACATTTATTGGCTGCATTCATAACAGACTCATTTGGACATTCACACCAGCCCCCCTTCAACTAACAGTCACATGGTGGCTTCTAGTTCAGATTGGATCATGGGTGCAGATCTTATCGTGTGTGGAAACAGCAAGTGTCACAGATCCTCCTGATCTGAGGGCTTCCCTTGAGGACCATGATGGTGACTGACATTCTTGCTGAGGATCTTGACAGTAGCTGAAGACTCCACTTCAGTCCCAGAACAAATGGCTAGAAAGCCAAGAGAAAGGCAAGTGCTGGGAACTGTCCCCCAGGCTGAGCGCTCGCTGTCCTGGGCATGGGCTTGCCGAGAGCCTTCACAGAGAGGATGGTGTGGGCATCCCCTCAGTCACTGGGTTCCCCCTATGCTCAGGAACTGGGGAAGTGGACTGGGTCAGTACAGCATCTCTGATTCCCAGTTGTGGGACCCAGTGAGACTCTGACCTTTAGCACCCACTCACAGGAAGGGAGAAAACACCTAGTTTTGTAGAGCTGGGAGAAGAAGCTCCATAGCATCCTTGCTCCTTCGTAGGCTCTGAGCTGGACTCCCTGCCATCAAGTGTCTGCCAGGCCACAGGGGCAGTCAGGTATGTGATGTGAAGGTTCACAGTGCTCCCCATATCCCAGCTGGACAAAGGGGCTGGGCCAGCACCACTGCCCCAGAGCCAGGCCAGTGAAGCCAGGGGTACTTCTTGGAAGAGGCTTACAAGTGCTGTCACCATGGTATCCAAGGGCTTAACAGTCTTTCAGTAAAGGACATAAGGCAAGTCTGGGGCAAGATGCTGGCGGCAGGGACTCTAGATTCCAAAGTGAGGGATGAGTCTGGGCCCACCCCTTCTCAACTCCCCAGCAGCTCACCGAATGGCCATGATGGCCCTCAGGACAGCCTGCAGCAGGGTCAGGAGATTGAAGCTGATGGGCAGGAAGAGGCCCAAGCGGCCAGCATGTGGCTCCCCCTCCTGAGGCCTGAGCTCCTGAGGCAGCTCATCCTGATGAAGGGCCTGGAGCTGCTGCCACTTGAGGAGGAGACGCTGGTCCCCGCAAACTCGCCAACGGCCATGGCGGCTGCTTGAGTCCAGGGAGCACTCTAGGAGCAAGAGGAGCACTCTTGAGGACAGAGCATGAGACCACCTGGGGCTGTGGGGCTGTGGGGAACTGGCCCCACCCAGACAAGGTGCAGGGTGTGTCAGAATGGTGACTCAGCAGTTTCTTTTTGTTTGTTTGTTTGTTTTTTCAAGACAGGGTTTCTCTATGTAGCCCTGGCTGTCCTGGAACTCACTCTGTAGACCAGGCTGGCCTCCATCTCCCTCTGCCTATTGATAGAAATATAAGTCCTAATTGTATCAATGCAAAAATACTCTGAATATGCAACATGATAAATACATTTTCTTCTGAAAAAATCCCACCACAGTACAGAGCAGAAAATCGTGGAACCCTCATTTTCGAGAAAAATATAAGATCAAAAGTGTCTGGTGGTGTAGTCCAGCGTGTGAAAGGCCCTGACTGTGATTCTAGCGCGCGCACACGCGCGCGCACACACACACACACACACACACACACACGTGCATGCACTATCTTCAAATGGAAACCAGTCAGTCGGATATGAAACAAAATGATGAAATCACACTGAGCTGGAAGAGGGGACAGAAGTGTGGACAGGCTGTCCTCCTGGTCCTTCCTTCCAGGTCTCCTAACATGAACAGGTGAGAAGCTTGAGGAATGTATTCTGTAAGTCACCTGAACTGAGGGACACAGTGAAGCGCCTGCAGTCCCTACCACAGGGAAGGCTGAGGAGGGAGGACAGCTTAAGCCCAGGAGTTCACAACAGCTGGGGCAACACAGGAAGATCTCACCTTGAAAACAAACAAATCACCTCAACTTAGAAAGCGTGATTGGAGGAGCTGGAGGAAGAGCTCAGAGGCTAGAGCACTGTCCTCTCCTGCAGTGAGAGGACCAGGGTTCCACCCTCAGCACTCACATGATGGCCCACAACCATCTCTAACTCCAGTTCTAGGGGATCTGATGCCCTCTTCTGGCCTCCATGGGCACTGCATGCATGAAAACACATACATACATAAAAGTAAGTCCTTAAAAAAAAAGTGAAAACATGAATGGAGTAAAACCCAATACTGGTTTTGAAAATCTATCAGCTAATCCTATAATTTGACAATAAACTCACCTTTCCTAATCATGTAAAGCATTCAAAGTGAAAGCAGTCGATGAAAACAGACCTCAAGGGAGCCGCCACTGGGTCTGGAGACAGTTCCCTGATTCTCTCATGTTCCTGGGAGAAGGTTCAGGCATGGGCTTCTGGCTTTGCCAGAGCCTGCTCTGCTCTTGGGAGCCTCCCTGGGGTAAAAGTCTACTCTTACCTCCACTCCTGCCCCGCCAGGCACCTACCACTCACCTTTCTGCCCTCCCTCTGAACCCTGCAGGTTCCAACTCTGAACATGTCTGAGGACGTTCTTTTGTGTGGCTTCCTGGGACCTGATTTTCCAGGAGCCTTGAGTCCTGGGGACATGGTCATTGTGTCAATGTCACGGTAGCTCAGAGCTCTGTCTCCCAATAGCAAGTGCTGCATTTTGGGTACAGCCTACTGCGTCTATTCTACTGTGACAACAGGCTCAAGTCACCCCAAGATTTTTTTTTTTTTTTGGTTTTTCGAGACAGGGTTTCTCTGTGTAGCTTTGCGCCTTTTCCTGGAACTCACTTGGTAGCCCAGGCTGGCCTCGAACTCACAGAGATCCGCCTGGCTCTGCCTCCCGAGTGCTGGGATTAAAGGCGTGCGCCACCATCGCCCGGCCACCCCAAGATTTTGCTATGACATTTCCCAACACTGATGAGAGTGCTGAGTACCCTTGGGCTGTCCCCAACAAATGCCATGCTTCAAAACCTGTGTCTTCAAGCCATGTCTGCAGGGCTGGGAGGATCTGCACTCTGGAGTAACAGTGTTGCTTCTGGGATTGGGAACTGGACATTTTTACACACTTAAGAACAGGTTGGGCTAAAGAGTTAAACAGAGAATTCTCAAAAGAAGAATCTCAAATGGCTGAAAGACATTTAAAGAAATGCTCAACATCCTTAGTCATCAGAGAAATGCAAATCAAAACGACTCTGAGATACCACCTTACACCTGTCAGAATGGCTAAGATCAAAAACACTAATGACAGTCAATGTTGGAGAGGATGCGGAGCAAAGGGAACTCTCCTCCACTGTTGGTGGAAGTGCAAACTTGTACAACCACTGTGAAAATCAGTATGGCGGTTCCTCAGAAAATTGGAAATCAATCTACCTCAAGACCCAGCCATACCACTCTTGGGCATATACCCAAGGAATGCTCAATCATACCACAAAGATACATGCTCAACTATGTTCATAGCAGCACTATTTGTAATATCCAGAACCTGGAAACAACCTAGATGCCCGTCAACTGAAGAATGGATTAAGAAAATGTGGTACATACACACAATGGAGTACTACTCAGCAGAGAAAAACAATGACAGCATGAAATTTGCAGGCAAATGGATGGAACTAGAAAATATCATCCTGAGTGAGGTAACCCAAACCCAGAAGGACAAACATGGTATGTACTCACTCATAAGTGGATTCTAGATATAAAGCAAAGAACAATCAGACTGCAACCCACAGAACCAGGGAGGCTACATAGCAGGGGGGACCCTAGGATGACTGTGGCTTAGAATAAGTTTTGGTTTTACTCAATCACTGGGCAAGCCTCAGTGAAACATTTCACTATTAAGATAAGAATTTGGGCCGGGCGGTGGTGGCGCACGCCTTTAATCCCAGCACTCGGGAGGCAGAGGCAGGTGGATCTTTGTGCGTTCGAGGCCAGCCTGGGCTACAGAGCGAGATCCAGGAAAGGCACAAAACTACACAGAGAAACCCTGTCTCAAAAAAAAAAAAAGATAAGAATTTGGGGGGCTGGAGAGATGGCTCAGAGGTTAAGAGCACTGACTGCTCTTTCAGAGGTCCTGAGTTCAATTCCCAGCAACCACATGGTGGCTCATAACCATCCATAATGAGATCTGGTGCCCTCTTCTGGCCTGGAGTCATACATGCTGTATTCATAATAAATAAATAAATCTTTAAAAAAAAAAGATAAGAATTTGTACTGTATCAAGCTGATAATAGAAATAAATAAATAAATAAATAAATAAATAAATAAATAAATAAATAAATAAATAAATAAATAAATAAATATGAAAAAAAAAGAACAGGTTGGTTGGTGGCTATCCATTTCCCAAGCGCTTCTCAGCCTTTCCTCCTGAAAGCTCCTCCTGCCTGCCTTTTTAGAAGGCCTTCCCCAACCCAGATCCTGCACAAGGGACTTCCTGTGCAGAGCTGGCATAGTGCACCGAAGAAGCACCAGACCAAAGCCTGGACGTGCCTTCAAAATCAAGTCCAGGACGGAGTTCAAAAGACATAAATAACATGGGAAGGAGGCTGTCTCTCCCAGAGAGCTGAGCCACGGGGGTGTGGCTGAGGGCGACATCACCAACGTGTGAGTGTGCTGCCAAGTGTGTCTGAACACACACTGAGCACGTGAATGTGAGCATACATTATCAATCATGAATACAGGAATGCATACATGCCAGGTCACATGCATGAGCATATGAACACACTTGTGTAGCACACATCCGCTGTATAAGGCATGCACACGTGTGTGTGTGTGTGTGTGTGTGTGTGTGTGTGTGTGTGTGTGATACAAGAGCTGTCACATCAGAAATACATACCAGTTTAAAAATGAACATGTACACACACTACATACCACAAGTAACAGAAGTTCATAGCTTAAATAAACCCACTTTAGACACCATCAGCCCTAGCTTGTCACTGCTAAGACTGGTGGTCTGCCTCCATCATTTGTAAGAAGGCAGCCGGCGGGTTGTGACGCCTGGCAAGGGTTGGAGATGGCTGTGTCACCTGTGTGGCCTTGCCCCACCCCTTTCCCAGGGCAGAATGAGGTGACACATGGTGTGGAGTTACCTGGAGTGCCTTTAACATTCTCCAACCTCTTCACCACCTAAGAGAAGAGAAAGTGGATCAGTAGGTCATCTAGAGACCCGCAGTGTGTGGGGGAGTGATCAGGACTTGAGACCTCAGGGCAGGGGTGGTGTGGCTCCCAGTTCAGGACTGAGTTCTTTGTGCTGGGGATAGCTTGCTGCTCAGTGATAAGAGAACCCAAAAGGTGGGAAGGCAGAGGAAAAGAAAAAAAAGACTTCTAACTAGTCTCAAATACTGCGGAGACCCTCTAAGCTGAAGGCAGGTTGGATGTGGCCAATCCTGGCATCATGGCCTAGAACTACAGCTGTGGGGGTGCAGATGGGTCCAGAGGGTCCCTCTCAGCCACCTCTGCAGGACTATAGACAGACACAGAAAGATAAGGTTGGGCACAGGGCATGGTGCGGAGAAAGAGGGGGGAGGAGACAGCAAAGAGGAATAGATGCAGTGGCCTGGATACCAGATGACCCCTCGCTATGCTCAGAGAATGAGGCTCACACTTCCCAGCAGCCTCCACAAGACACGGCCTTCTGCCCTCAGCTGCCCTCACCATGCCATCAGGGAGGGGGTGCCTCCTTGGACTCCTCCCTTCCCACCCCTCACTCAGCCCTGTCTCACAAGCTCCCTTCTTACCTTCTTCTGGGACCTCAGCCCCTGGGGCACCCAATAGGGCATGACAGCCCTCTCCCTGGGCATCGGAAGGCGCCCCCCAAAGCTGTGGCAGGGGCAACGGCACGACCTCATGGCTCTGGGGACATAACACCGCATCATCTTTGAGACCTACCAGTGGACAGTAAGAAAGGTTCAAAAGGGTGAGGGGGGCACCAGGCATGGTGGCACATGCCTTTAATTACAGCATTCAGAAAGCAGGTGGACCTTTGTGAGTTCGGGACTAGGCTGGTCCACATAGAGAGACTCTGACTTTAAGAGGGGAGGCTATAGCCCAGCTAGTAGAGTGCTTGCCTAGCATGCACAGGGACATGGATTCCGCCTCCAGCACCACCAGGCACAGAGACCAGCAAGATGGCTCAGTGGGTAAGGGCACCTGCTGCCTACCCCGTACATCTGTGTTCGATCCCTGGGACTCACAGTGGAAGGAGAACTGACTACGGTAACTTGTCCTCTGACTTTCTACACATGCACCTTGTCACATATGCATTCCCCCACACACATACATACATACATAACACAATAAATAAATAAATGTAAAAAAATATTTTCAAACAGGCATGGTATTTGTGGTAGTTTAAATGAGAAGGGCCCTGATAGGCTTCTGTGTTTGAATATTTGGTCTGTACTTGCTGGGACTTTGGAAAGAATTAGGAGCTGTGTGGTCTTTTCCTTTCTTTTTTTAAAATTAATTTATTTATTGGTATTTTATTTTATTTTTTGGGGTTTTTTGAGTTTTTACATGTAGCCCTGGCTGGCCTGAAAATCACTATGTAGACTAGGCTGGCCTTGATCTCACGTGCCGAAGAACTTCCTTGGCACATTGTCAGTGGTAAACGAACTGTCTAGAAGCCTGTGGCAGGGACAAGGTAACTGCCCTTCTACCTCTCCACCCAAGTCCAGGGAGCTCTTTCTGAGCTCCTTTGGCCCTAGGAGATGAGGTCAGGGGCGGATCCACGGGTGTCAATGCCACGTCACTCAGTGAATTGTTCTCAGTGGACATGGTGCCCACAGAAGAGAAGCAGGTACAAGGGAGATGGGAGAACACTCCAGACCTAATACCCACGCCGTATGAATGAACCTCGTAAGAACTACGCAAGCCAAAGAAATGGTTTACCAGGTAAGGACAAATGGACACAAAGCCTGACATGAGTTTGAACCCTGGAACCCATGTGGTTAAAGGAGAGAACCAACCCCCAAAGGTAGTCTTCTGATCTCCACAAGTGTACCGTGGTGCCACATGTATGTATGTACACACACACACACACACACACACACACACACACACACACACACACATACACACAATTAAAAAGAAACAAAAGAGGTGGTTGGGAAAGCGAAGAAGAAGGTGGGCAGGGACTGTCACTCAGTGGACAGTACTTACTTAGCTTGTTCAATCCCCAGCTAAAACCAAAACTGTGTCTCAGAAACTTCATTCATACAATACCTAGGATTCTGTGTCCTGGCCCTAAGTGATGACCTGCCAAGTCACTTAGTTACCTGCTTTCGTGGTCTCAGGGACAGAGGGACCCAGTAGGGCAGCAGTGCATCAGCCCGGGGCACAGGCAAGTGGCCCCCAAACCTGGCATAGCATTGGCAACATGTGCACTCCTGAAGGACGGTGCAGAGTCCGGGGTACACCTGAGTAAGACACACAGAGGACAGAACCAACCAGTGTGGTGATCTATTGTGTACCCCAATAAAGCTTACCTAGGGATCAGAGGACAGAGCCAGCTACTAGCTCACCTCTACAAAATCCTCAGCCTCAAGAGAGAGAGTTCCTGTTTCCTCACACCTTATATACCTTTCTGTGTCCTGCCACATTATTTCCTGGGATTAAAGGCATGTGCCACCATCGCCTGGCTCTGTGTCTCTCCTACACTGGATCAATTTCATGTAGCCCAGTGCGGCCTTGAACTCACAGAGATCCAGACGGATCTCTGCCTCTCGAGTGATAGGATTAAAGGTGTGTGCCACCACTGCCTGACCTCTATGTTTAATATAGTGGCTAGCTCTGTCCTCTGATGCCCAGGTAAGTTTTATTGAGGTACACAATATATCACCACAAACCAGGTAGCACCTAAGCAAGAGACAGAGGACAGAACTAAGTGTGAAAGGCATTTGTGACAGTAGTGAAGGACAGCACCCAGGGGAAGGGACAGGTAACTCAGGTCCACCTGTGGCTCAGGATCAGGCTGGCTACAGGTTTACCAGCTTGGGTCTACAAGCTGAGTTGGGCGGAAACCTGGCCACTCACTGCTGCCTCGCTGTCAATCTAAGGAAGATTCGAGCAACTTGAGTCGGGAGGAGGTAACAACTCCCTGTGGCTTTCTGCATGGTACTGACCACCTGCTGGGGCCACCACCCCCTCCATGGGGCAGACAAAGAAGCTGGTGACCAGGGCAAGTCACTGAAGGGGCTTCTGGTCTCAGGAGGGACTAGAAGGGAGGAAGTGACGCTACACAGAAATATGTGGGCACAGAGATGACCCATACAACCTCATGCTTCTAGGCAGGGTCCAACCTGAGACCCTCATCTCCCCCCACCCTTTCACCCACAGGAGGGATAAGAGGCTGAGGGCATGTCCTTACCGAGTGACCTGTGATGCACACCTCCTTTCCAAAGGTCTGAAATGAACCCTTCCTGGAAAAGAAAAGCACACAGCTCAGAGTGTTCTGGCCTCCATGCAAACTGTAGGCTGGGCACTGGTGACCCTTGGCACTAAGCTCCGTGTGGAGAAGTCTTCCTTCTGAGCCCAGGAGGTGCTTCTGATGACAGAAAGGCAGACTCGCACACGTGATAACCTCCCAACTGGTGTGGGACCCTGTGTTCCCAAGCCAACTTGCTTCAGTCCACTCCAACTAAAGCCAGGCTTGGTTCTCAGGAGGGTCCTAAAGCTAGAACCTCCCAGGGCTCCATTGAGGCTTTGTTGGGTATGCACTGGCTTATGGCAATAAGAGGGGGAGCCTGTCAGAACTGCAACAGAAACCCAGTAGACCTGGTGGCTTTGCCTCAAGGAAGACAGGGCAAGACATAGGGGCACAGAGAACAGAACAGAGGGGGCAGAGTGCCACCGAGGGGCAGAAGAGGACAGAGGGGACACAGCAGGACAGAATTCTTAGAGTACCAGTTACTCTTCCCTGACCCCAGCCACACACTGCCAAGATGTTGGCCATGAGAATCTCTGGCATGTAGACATTCAATGCCAGGCAAAGCTGATTTCCCACGGTGGGTGTCATCTTGCTTCATGTCAGAAAGCACACACACACTATCTGAGTGGTTTTGTGTTTCATTATAATCATCACAATCATTACTGGTCCACTTTGTTGTTGCTATATTTTGCCAGGCTTGCCTTGAACCCACAGCAATCCTCCTGCTTCAGTCTCCCAAGTGCTGGGATCACAGGAGTGTCTGGGTGGGCTTCAGGCCTTTGCACTCAATTTTCCTAGCTGATGACCAAAAACAAGACATGGGGGCTGACCTGCACAGCATCCAGACTACCCACAGCATCCCAGCCTGGAGGTGAGGTCAAACTGGACTCAGAGACTGATCACTATAGCGTCATAACCCTTGAAACTAAATGTGGAACTAGTAGGCGCAGCTGGGCTCCTTTTTTGATGAAGGAGCTACCCTATTAACAAGAAATCCTATACGGTCTGGGTGGTCACCTGACCTAGGAAGGAAGCCAGCACAAGGGAAAGGTGAGGGCTGGGGAGAAACCATGTAGGGCCACAGTCCTTGCACACCTGGATACAGCCATGCCTGAAGGCCTGCTCCTGACATTTCCGGGGATGGAAAGAGTAGGTCGCCCTTCCGTTTCTTTACCACTGCGCTACCGCTGGACCGGGCGGCCCCGGGGCTCCAGGCACTCACAGGTGAGCTCCGAGGTCACCTGTGCAGGCTCTAGGCTGACCTGATCTGTCATGATGCACAGTGCAGGGCATGCGCTACACAGCCGTGTCGGACCAGGGCCAGGCGAGGGCCAGACTCCTCGCAAGGGCCGGAGGAGGGTCGCGGTGCTTCGCAACAGCTTCCCGCTCCACTAGCTGATTGGTCCTTAAGCAGCCAATCAGGAGCTGTCGTATTTGGTCGTGCACTGAGCTGACAGCTGATTGGCTACTCGCAGCAGCGGCTCCTGGGAACCGTGGGACAGAGTGGATTCTGGACCTTTGGCTCCCGCTCGCTTGGTTGTCGTCGCCCGAGTTGACGTGGAGCCCAGCCCGAGGCCACTCACCATTTCCTGTGGATGGTCCTGTGCGTGCGCGAGGCACCCCGGTCCCGGTCCCCTGAAAAGAGACAGGAGGAGGTAGGACAGGACGGCTACATGTTCCCATGGGCTACATTCCCTCTGTGGGTCCCAGATATCGTCAGGGGCCCACTTCTACCCAAAGCCATTCGTTATCAAATGGAGTGACACCTTGGTGACCCTGAACTTCACGCACCCGTCAGATATGCGCAGATTGTAACTTTAAAAGAAATATGTCGGGCGGTGGTGGCGCACGCCTTTAATCCCAGCACTCGGGAGGCAGAGCCAGGCGGATCTCTGTGAGTTCGAGGCCAGTCTACAGAGTGAGATCCAGGAAAGGCGCAAAGCTGCACAGAGAAACCCTGTCTCGAAAAACCTAAAAAAAAAAAAAAAGAAAGAAAAAAAAGAAATATACCCATCCAGGACTCTGGTCAGACCAAAGATAGCACTTGGAGTCAGTGAGATGGCTCAGCAGGCCTGGGCGCCTGCTGCCAAGCCTGATGGCCCGAGTTCGATCCCGGGACTCACATGGTAGAAGGCGAATACTCCCGCCAGTTGTCCTCTGACCACCATATGTGCGCCACACACATCCCACCCACCTACCCCGAAACAACCCACAGAATGGGAGAAAATCTTATCCAGCCGTACTTCAGGCAGGGGTTAAAATCCAGAATTTACAAATTATTGCAGAAGCTAAACACCAAGGAAACGAAGCTGCCAGTCAACAAATGGGCAGACAAAGGGAGCAGACTCTGCTAGGTGGCGCCTTCCAGCCCCATCCCGGGGGTGCCCTTAGCAGGGGAGGGGAATTGTGGACACCTGCCCCTGCCTCCGTACTACAGTGGCGACCATTCCAGAACACATCCCTACAATCACCCTCTGGCCCCGTGGATCTCGGTCCCTGAGCATTCCTTCTCATCTGTTTGCTGAGTCACCTCCCCATGACTGTTTTGAATCCCTGTCAAAGAGGCTGCCACTAGAGAGGATCCCAAATTGAGGCAGGCTCCTCCCCGCACCCTTCTGACGGTCACACCCACCAAGGTGACGCTAGGCCTCCCACTGCTCCAGCTGTGCCACAGACCAATGGCAGTCCCTAGCAGGCAAACAGCTCCATCAGAGACCTGGTGGGCTGGGCTGGGCACACCAGCCCCGCTGCATTCAGAGATGTTAGCTGATGCAGCAGCATGCTGGGCCTCTGCTAATAAACAATGGGAAACAACCCAACAAAAAGAAAATCCGGAGGAGTCGAGAAGGGAGAAGAAAGGATGGATGGCTGCCACAGCCCTGCTGGGTGGTACTGCGAGCCCCCGGCCCAGGTGCAGGAGAGATGTCATCCCAGCTGCTCAGGAGGTTGAGCACAGAAGCCACTTGAGAGCGTGAGGACTGTCTAGAATCCCAGGTCTACAGAGTAACCCTGATTCAGAAAAGGGAAGGAAGGGAGGGAGGGATGGGGGAGGAAGGAAGGAAGGAAGGAAGGAAGGAAGGAAGGAAGGAAGGAAGGAAGGAAGGAAGGAAGGAAGGAAGAAAAATGAAAAGGGGAAAGGAAAGGAAAAGGAAACAAAATGCTAGGAACACAATGCCCTGCTGAAGACACTTTCCAGGCCTTTCAGGCTGGACTTTGGAGGGTTCTAGGGCAAGTTCAGCCCAGTGCCTCTGACCAATGTTAGTTTACATTTCTTTCTTTCTTTCTTTCTTTCTTTCTTTCTTTCTTTCTTTCTTTCTTTCTTTCTTTCTTTCTTTCTTTCTTCTTCTTCTTCTTCTTCTTCTTCTTCTTCTTCTTCTTCTTCTTCTACTTCCTTTCTTCTTTTCTCCTCCTCCTCCTCCTCCTCCTCCTCCTCCTCCTTCAATTTAAGGTGAGTTTTGGGTTTTGGTGTTTTTTGTTTGTTTGTTTGTTTTGGTTTTTCAAGACAGGGTTTCTCTGTGTAGCCTTGGCTGTCCTAGAACTTGCTCCGTAGACCAGGCTGGCCATGAACTCACAGAGATTCACCTGCCTCAGCCTCCTGAGTGCTAGGCTTAAAGGTGTGCGGGCCAGCTCAGATTACATTTTTTTGTCTGGTGCCCTTGCCATGGGGCTCTTAGCTTCTTGCTCTGACCGTGAGTAGACACTGTCAGCTCTGCTGTCTTGGCCCTTACCTTTTCCTCTCAGCATCACTGGTATCATCGCCACCCTTTCCTCCCTGTCTCCAACGGTGACACGTCCCAGTTCTTTCAGTGGCTGTGCCTGGTCTTCCTTCACTCCACCCTCCCCCAGTATAATGTGGGACACAGTGTCACCGTCATCTTCCTCACTGTCGTCAGAGCAGGAAAGAGGGCCACTCAGGCTCTGATAGCTTGCTACTTCCCA